ATGCACGGAAATGGGAATTTATGCCTCTTCATTATTTCATTTGTAAGTATGTACATAAACAATAGATAAAAACGTACCTTTCTTCTTTCKCAAGGGGCTCTTTATCTGACATCTGTTAACTTACTACAATTCGGTGAATCGACGTTTTATACTAGCTAAAGTAAGTTCCTTGATCTTGCATTAGATTATCGCTTAAATCAAACGTTTTCTCTATTTTATCTTATTCCAAACCTAAATTGAATCCATGGTGTGTTATTGATTGGCCTAATGTACTRTTAAGTGTAGTTTTTCTCGTTTTGATCAAGAATGTGTTGTTCTTAAAAGCTTTTTGGTGGCTATGATCAAATCAGATCTATATTTATAACAAGAATTCTGATTTCCAGTGAGCTATAAATAATTRGATTTGTTTTAAGTATAGAAACTTTTAATGTTAGTTTGGTAAGAAATCATTTAAAGAAGAAAATGAAATTTTTAAATTTATAATCAAATTATTGAAACAAAGCCCAAACTTTTTTAATATCTTTATGTCAAACTTTCTTTTCAAAAATGAAGTTTATTTGTGTTTACTCTCGATCATTTTGGCAATACAATCAATACCTGAAAATAAGAACATTGTTTTTTGAAAGTCTGGCAAAAAAGGTTCTTCTTTTAGGGGTAGTTGTTGGTAATTTTGGCAAAACAGGTTCTTAATTAGGTTCTTAATTTCTAATAGGGAGATACAGTTGTTATTGTTTTACATATCATAAAAATAATACATAAGCTTAATATGGGCTAAAATTATAATATGTAATACTATAATATTATGTATAACTRCAATTACTTTCAACTACTGTAACAAGTAAGTAATGAACTCAGCAAATGTAAATAAATTCAGTAATCTATAGCAATCTTCAAATTGAGTAAGTTATGGTTTGTTTATCGTGTAATTTAGCTCTAACCCATATTATAAGAACCTGCTTGATAATRTTTGGCTAAAGAKGTTCTTATTTAAGGGGTGATTAAAATGGCAAATTTCTGCCAAGAGGTTCTTAATCCATTAGGTTCTTATTTTCAGTGTTTACTGTACTTCATGTGCTAAGCTTTGTTTTTCATTTGTTCACCAGATGGCTATTGGCTGTTTGAACAAGGTGATCATGCATGACTGGTGCATTAGTTACAAAAAATACTTTATAACTTTATAATTGTTGATAAACGTGAAGTGTCAATCTTTAATAATTGTCCACTCTTTCTTGGTGTCTCCATTTGTTTTTGAATTTACAATTTCCTGACTATTGGATGTGAATAGTATTATAGATGTGATATATATGATCTAGTAATTATATGCAGAAATTCTGACCTTTTTAACTTACATTATTGGTATATCATTGGTAGAATTGTTTTCAGAAAGTACTAAGTGCTATGCAACTTCAAAAAATATCAGAAATCATATACCATAATTTCTGATATATTTTATGTATACTTGAAAATATAAAGCAAATAAATATAAAGCACTTTGTTGGTTTAGTAAAATTTGCTTTATATTGTTGAGTGTGTGCATTTTAAATCAAAGCCAATCAAAGGTCTGTGAATCCCTCCTATTTTTCCAACCACTAACTTGCCACTYTTTAAATATATCATCTAGTGTAACAAAGGATGTCTGTCTGTCACAAACTATTTTAGTACCACTCACACCTGATTATGTTCCTTGCAGAACCAGAGTATCATTAGACATCCAAGAGAGCTTCTCATACAAGGTTACAGGCAAACTATGCTGAASWATGAAACTTTGGATTAATTTSGATTGTTGAAAGTTTCATAATTCAATCCCAGGATGACAGGGATCCAGTATCAAGGCTACAACAGGATCTGAAATACTCGTTCCGGATCACTTTGTAAAGGGCAAAATGCCTCTATTTCACAGCTTTTTGAGCACAATTGACAAGTATAGAATACAAACACTAAAAAAGTCTGTTTGTTTTWCTTCRCATTGTTTTGTATCCCAAAAGACCATCCCATCTTGGGATGGTGGGCGAAACTGCGAACACAATACATGTTCAAATCATAACTCACAACATTGCTAGTCTCACTAATTGCACATTAGCTTATCTAATTGAAACAACGTCCATATCGTTTCATTACCAGCATTAACACAGTACTGCTAAACGTTGTATACTAACAGTTCACTACTCTATGCTTTATACACCAAAATGTCAGTAACGGTTTATAAATAACTTTACATTAACTGTGCAAATATTTGAGTCGCCATTTGTGCACTGACAATCRAACTGTATCTTTGCATTCCCATTCCCACTGTCTATGTTGACAGAAAACGGCTTGTAATCATTGCTACTCATGTCATCCCAAACTTTGTGACCAGTTGTCCCGACACCCAGTTTGTTGTTCCCTACACTGGGATTGGAAAACCCAATGGTGATGTCTGTATTYAGCATCCTGTAKGTCACATATCCAGAGCATCCCGCCATTGACCAGTCRCTTTCATAACACAGGATATCGACTTGGTTTCCTGATTTAATTACYGATGGCCAACTGTAAGAGTTCCCGAGTCGTCCRCTATCAAACCAACTCCTGACAAATTTCATATCTCTGGAGTTCGGCGCATTAGATATTTTCAGGCGGATGTTGTGAGACTTCACCATCTTGTCACTAAAAACGTTGACATTATTTTACTGAAGACATTTGTTAAAGATATAATAAAAGAGGAGACACTTGCAATATCAGGCTATGGATGAATTTGTTTTAATAAACAGATTGAAAATTAAAACATGAATTACGTCTAATTGGTACCTCAGCATAATAACACGTTACAAAATCGTGTAAAAAAAAATAAAACAACACACACATTACTCACAGAAAAAAAAATCCTAWTCAAAAAACCTGCGTTGATGAGTGAATATTAATTTTTTCGGGACACCCTGCAGTTCCTGCAGCTATCAAAGCAATAATACCCTCGATTAAACTATAACTCTATTGTTTTTAAAAATAGTGTATATGATCAAAAACAAACTATACTGGGGCAGACTTTTAAAATGATTAAGTCAAGTGCATCTTTTCGGAATTGTTGCAAAGATGTATTAAAGGCGTATCAATTTTATTGTACAAGTATATGAGCTGTGAACCACGTCGGCACGGTGGAGGGCTCAGTCACGCTCTAGTTTGATGCAATAACGTACTCGTGTGTGGAAGAGATGTATGACTAAGGCATATTGTAAATGATCTTGTCTTTCATTAAMACAGCAAATAAATGTGGGGTTACCGTATATATCTCGTATAAAAACTGCTAAATTTGTTGTAGTAAAATTACAATGGAATGAAGGCGAGAAAAATTGACTTGATGCACTTCCGCTTGTGGACTGAAATCAATCAGTTTCTTGTGGACATTTTTCGTTATGGCGTTACAATAGTCCACTAGACCGCTGTTTTGATAATTATTGTTTGACTAGAAATCACGGAAATCAAGTGAAATAACAGGAATGCATTTGAGATTGAGAACGAGTTTGAGAAACTTTTTCCGAGAATTGAGAATTCATGATCAATTGGTKAATTTTTAATCGCCCTTCGAGAGGTCTGTTTCAGATCAATATCAGCACAGTTACACAACATTGTCACTAACTATTGACTTGATATGCCTTTTAAACACGATGTTTTGTTTCATAATTTATGAGATACTAGTATAGCTAATATAATATAAAACGTCTGATCAGCCACGAGTGAAAATTAATGCGCTTCACACAGTCACTGGGTTTGAGCAGTATGTAAAATTAATTTGATAGTGCAACAATCTTGTTTTCTAATCGTCTTTTTGTATTTTCATCTGGAAAACATCGCAGGGATTGACTATATGTAGCTGCAACTCGCATCATTCTAGTCAGTCAGCTGGTTCTCAAGGCTGCTTCCGAGAATTTGGCGATGATGTCGTTCTCACATGTAATACTTCTTGTGGTCGTTGATTTACATGCAAATAAGTCACACATCACAAGCAGTGTTATAATCGAGAATAAAAAGCCTGAATTCAGTAAGTTGTTCATTTGATAATTCGAACAGTTTCTGAATCTTCATCTCAGACAACGCATGAGACAACAAAGGAATCGGTACGTGGCGACTGAGTGTGTAGGTATCAAATACACTCAAACAGATCGATTAATTATCTTACAACGGCACTACCACATCCACGTAGGGTCGAAATTAAACTTAGCTTACCTTCAGTAATCGAACTCGACCGTTTTAACCTGGTTGGCACGCGAGCTACTTGTAGCGTAGTACGACAGTTCTGTTGCTTTGTGGCCCCCGTCACGCAACTTTATACGCTCTCCTCATGAACTTGTCCGCTGTACAAAATAAACGAATTTTGCCAGTTTCTGAAAATACAGCTTCCAGGAATTTCACTTTAACTTGATTTACATCCCGGGGGGGGGGGGGGGGGGGTGTTATATTTACTATACGGGGACGTGCCGCTGGCCAGGGTATGGTTTTTGGCCTTGCTGTCTTAAACAGGGTATACATTTCACCCGAAATTGTGAAAAGACCGAYATAATTTTTTGTGTGTCAAGCACCGTACAAATAGTAGAAATACCGTTTCACTGTCCCAGGATTAACGTGTTACAAAAAACTTCTTATTGTCTTTGATGGATGTCAGTATAATTGCAGTTTTGATTGCGGCGTAGATAGCTATTTTGGTATAAATAACACGAAATAATAACAATAACAGAAGCTTGCAAAAGGATAATAATGGTGCAAACTGGGCCTTTAACAATCTATTTGTAAGGTAAAGATACATTGCAATAAAAGTCAATTTGCTCCAGGTCAAATTGTCATATTTTTCTTGCTCTAAATAACAGCTAGCAAAAATGATCAGTTCCGTCTTCTATACTTCGCTTTTTGGTATATGTTACTGACAAAAGTAACTCTCCCTCCCCTCCTTATAAAATGCTGGATCCTCCCCTGAATATATTAACAATCAATAATTGCAAATTATGCAAAAACAAAATTCTACAAATATGTAAATCCCGGGGAGGGGGGGAGGATCAACCCCGTTTTGGATAGGTACGTGCCGCCAGCGGTCTAAATCCCTGACCCTGTTTAAGACACTAAAAAGTGAAAATCCATACCCTGTTCAAGACAAATCGGAAAAATTAGGAATAGCTATCTACGCCGCAACCATCAAAACTGTTATTACTATGATTTACACCAAAATAACCATCTACGCCTCTCGTCATCGTGTTGAGTAATCGAACTGTAACCCTCCACTTGTAGCAGGCGTTCCTTGCTAGTCCTTGAATTCTTTAAAAAAACTGTCAAGGAAAAAAGTTGAAAAAACGAATTTCTAAATAAGAATAAACAAAGTAGTAAAAGACAAGAAAAAGGAAGAAAAGAAAAAAACAAAAAACAAACGAAAAACTAAGAAACAAGTAAAAAAAAATAGAAATTACAGCAGCAGGGTTCGAACTCAGGACTTTCACTTCAGCATGAGATGCACCCCCCGGAATACATAAGAAATAATGAAAATAAAAAAACTAAAAAGATGGGACGATTCCCCCGAGACATTCTATGAAGCTGAGGCGGCGAATCGGCTTACGTTACGGTTAGAGATTTCGGCCCTTCCACGCTATCCCGAGTGAACATAAAACTTAGTCTTAACCAAAAGGCCAGGGAGTGAGGGGGTAGCCGCCCACTAGAGCATACCTTTAGCTACCCTCTTAGACCATCGTACTATGAAGACACTTATAGATATCTAATATCTAATTGGGGTAGTCTATTCGG